TATATATATATATATATATATATATATATATATAGAGAGAGAGAGAGAGAGAGAGAGAGAGATAGACAGATCGAGAGAGAGAGAGAGAAATGACAGAAAACAAATGGAGTTAAATTGCACTGTTCGTTGTATTTACTTTACTAGTTCAGTTATTATTATTTTCTATAGATGTGCCATATTTTTTTTAATTTTATATACAGGTCGCTTTAAGAGGCTTCCCAAATCTTGTTTTTTTTCTGTTAACTTTACGTCTGATTAACCTAACCGTCCCTTCAATGTCTTTTCAAAAAAATTGAACATCTTATATTTGCCTACAATGACGATGCATCTGTCGCTGACATAGTTTTCGCAATTGTCAATTATGGCCAGACTTTCTTCCTGTTTATCATGGCATGAAAAATAACTCACCCACCACCGCCCTCTGAGCGTACTTTTCTATTTAGCGTAGATCTGAAATTTAATTGGTCAGTCAAAACATACCCACATGTCTATTTTTAATTCTGACCTTATTTTTCCGACCCCATTTAACTTTCGAAAAAGAGGTGACATTTTGTTTTAAAATTTTCTTAAAAATCATTTAATCAGCAGTTGCTTACATGCAGCCGAAGAAGCACAATCAAAGTATTGATACATGAAATCTTTTGCGTATCATTTTCAACGTTTTATCCCAATCTCTTGTAATAAAAAATATATATATATATATATATATATATATATATATATATATATATATATATATATATATATATGGGGGGGGTGTGTGTGTGTGTGTGTGTGTGTGTAAATTACGACATAAACAATTTTGAAAATTCCTACAGCAACCCAGAAACTGATTCTAATAATTCATTTTCTTCAGTTGCATTAGTTGCCACTGAGAACAGAATCGCTTCATTCAGCAAAAGAAAGGGGAAAATGCATTCCAAAAATTATCTACTATAATAAAGTTGCTCTAATTATTAAAAAAAAATGCTGGAATATAAAGAAACCGAAGATGAATGCCCATGCAGGTTATGTTTGTAACTCCATATTTTTATTAAAGGTTTGTACATCAACTACGGAAAGGTGGGCCGATATATGTTTTTTTTTTAATTTGACTCACTTCCTTTGTGATTCTCGGGTCGCTATGATTATTCTGTATGAAATTTCTGCAAAGGCTTATTGCATATAGTTGTAATTTTAGTTTAGCTACAACGTAAAAAAGTAACGGATTATTGAAGCAATGTTCACAATGCTTTATATCAGCCCATCACAAAATATGGCTGAAGAGCCGTATGAGACCCACAGGATACAGAGTATGACCAACAAGGTGTCGTCAAGATAGTTGCTTTTGTGTTCATCAGAATATATTCGCCTCTGATCGTATACGTAAACTTCGTTTTTATGGAAGCATAACTTTATTCAACCATTATTTCATTGTCTTTTAAAGCTTTTAAAGAAGAAAAAAATGTATCTTCTGGCCACCCTTCTCATTCTATCCATTTCTATTTCACTACATGTCGGGGTAGAAAGAGAAATCGAGGACTTACGTTCCTTCTTTTATGATCCTGAATAGTATCCCTTTGCAGACAACGTCGGCGTAATTTCGCCAAATGTGTAACTTTTGCGCTGTAAAAAAAATGCTGTTAATATATTCTGTCTATATTCCCATATACAAAACACATGATGTAAAATATATAATTTTCTTTTTTGCACTAAAATGAAAAGCTGAAGCAGCATTTTGCGCATATGTACCTTATAAATGTCTGTTGATACGAATAAATGAAGAAAAGTAATATAAGAAAAATATCAACGCTGAGAATTCGTTCAAAGAATTGATCTGAGGTTATATTTCCGGCGAAGTAAAGAATGAAAAGTATTAGAAACATGTATAAAATGTGTCAGCAATGCATATTTTCTTCGGGGCAATGTAAAGTACACGAAATTACAAAGGCATTCATAATGAAACTTCTCGGTTGCCAAAAACGGGTAACTGGAGAGCTATAGAAATAATTAGGTCGAAATGATTATCTAGTCGAAATGATTATCTAGCTCTTGCGCAGTAAAGAAAAAAAATCTTGAAAAGAATTCAAAGGGATAAAAAACGAAAGAAGAAACGAAATGTGGAACGGAGAATGAATGACAGATGTGCAAAAGAAAGAAGGAAAGAAAGAAAGAAAGAAAGAAAGAAAGAAAGAAAGAAAGAAAGAAAGAAAGAAAGACATAGGATGCACAAAGAATAGGTAAAAAGAAAAGTCATACACAAGGTAGGGAAGAAAGAAAGAAAGAAAGAAAGAAAGAAAGAAAGAAAGAAAGAAAGACATAGGATGCACAAAGAATAGGTAAAAAGAAAAGTCATCATACACAAGGTAGGGAAAGAAAGAAAGAAAGAAGAAAGAAAGAAAGAAAGAAAGAAAGAAAGAAAAAAAAAGAAAACATAGGATGAACAAAAGAAAGAAAGAAAAAAGAAAGAAAGAAAGAAAGAAAGAATGAAAGAAAGACAGGAGGACACAAAAGAATAGGG